GATGGGGCCAGTACCGATGACGAGATGCGGCCCGAGTGACAGAGCTTGGTTTGAACAGCCCTGCTAGCGCGGCATCTGTGTGAAAGCGGCGGGTGCGCTAGAGGCTATACGATCGCCGAACTGTGAGATCCAACATCGTGAAACACCTACAACATGATGGAGCATCACAACTGGAAGCCGCATATTCCTGTCGCATTTGTTCCGAGCCGGATCGATCTGTGATGGTCCCAGGGCCAGGAAACAGGCGAACACACCTCGGGTGCTGCTAGATACCTCTGGCCCAAGGTACCCCCAGGATTCTCAAGGTGGCCCAGACCGGCCTCCAGGGGAGCCTTCACGAAGCCCAGAGGGCCCCAGAGGCTCCAAGATGGAGCGACAAGCTGGGGGCACCTTGGGCCAGGGGCACCTCCAGCAACACCTGAGCACCCTGTGCGAACCAATGACGCAACCGCTTGGATCTCCGGGAGGAGCTCTGGACACGCGCTCGTCCCCAGCAGCCCCCGACGCGCGAGGCCTGCGACTACTGCTTCGGCTCCTTCACGAAGACGGGCGTCCCGCCCGCGGGGCCCGTGGCCCCCGCGTGCGTGTGCATGTCCTACCCCGACGGCCCGCCCGTGGGGGGGGGGGGGTCAGGGGCAACGATAGGGGGGGATAGGCATAGGGGGGGATGCGTCGACCCCGATTCGCCCATTGATCGCCGATAGGGGCCCGATAGCCCCAACCCGCCCAGGAAGGTGCGGATTCCCTATCGGGGGCCTGTCGCCGATCCGTCGGCGATGTGTCGCCGATTCTATGTCGATGCATGCCCCCCCTATGCCACTCCCCCCCCTATCGTTGCCCCTCAGGGGGGAGGGGGGCCGCGGATCGCTCGGGGGCCCCCCTGCGGTGACCACACAAGTGATCGTCTTCTTATCCACTGTTCTGCCTCCTCCTCCTCCTCCTCCTCCTCCTTTCCCCCCATTGGGTAGATCTTGACTGTTTTTGGCGCCTGTTTCAAGCAGGCGGAGGCTCCCACACGACGCACTGCTGCAAGCAGTCGCACTAGGCAGAGGTCCCGGGCCAGACCCCCCACCTCCCCATTCCGCCCAATGTCGAAACGCCGAATAAGAAAACGTTCACCCGCGTCGTGCCGGGCTCTGAGGGAACGCCCACGCACGCAGGTCGACACGACATCTGCACGGGCTCACTCGACATGGGCATACGAGTGTGCTGGTGCAGTCCCCGGTGGGTTTTACTCATGGACGTGCGTTTCGCTGGATACATCCACTTGTCTTTGGACGTCGATTGGTGAGTCCCCTCGCTTCGCGGAGAGCACGTCTGGAGCACGTACAGTCGTTGCGGGGCCTGGTGGGGGCCCCTTGGGGGGCTCTTGGAGGCATCTTGGGGGCTTCTTGGGGCCTCTTGCGACTTCTTTGGGCCTCTTGGGGCCTCTTGGGGCTTCTTGAGGGCCTCTCTGGGCCGACTTGGGGCCCTCTTCGGGTGCTCCACGGCCGTCTTGGAGACTCTCTTGGGCCGTCTTGGTGCCCTCTTGGGGCCATCTTGGGGGCCTCTTAGTCCGTTATAGGGCCTTCTTGGAGATCTCTTGGGCGATCTTGGGGTAACTTTGGGGGCCTGTTGGGTCGTCTGGGGCCGTCGGAAAGCCTTAGGAGGCACAAAAGCCCAAATCCTTCAAAAATCTACGGACAATCAATGCTTTTGACCTCCTCGGGTCTTCCTGGATAACCTCTTGAATGCCTACTGGGCCGTCTTGGAGGTCTCTTGGGAGCCTCTTGGACAGCCTCGGGCCATCTTGATACTATCTGAGGCCGTCTTGGATACACCTTGGGCCGTCTTGGAGGCATCTTAGGACCATCTTAGCCGTCTTGGAAGCCATCGTTGCCGTCTTGGAAGCATCTTGGAGGCCGTCTTGGGCCGACCTGGCGATCTTGAAAGCCATCGTGAGCCGCATTGGGGCAATTTTTTTCCGTACATTGAGGTCCCTGGTGCGGCCTTCTGGGTGACCGGCGGGACGGGCCGAAGCCCCATCGGAAAAATTAGCCTGGCGAAGGACCCAAACGTGTGCAGCTGTGGGCATCGCGTTTTTTAACACATCTTTTTTACAGAAAAAATGTCGTTTTGTTAAAGAGGCCTTTTTCAGAGAAGGGAATGTACCGATGCCGCCGCTCGTCATGGAGAGGCCCCGTCGCCACTGCGGAATTCCCGTTGAATTTCGAGCCGGGGTGCCCCAGGGGAGGTTCTGGAGTCGCGGCATAGGTGTCTTCTCTTGCCTCCCACTCTTGCCTCAGGAGTCGGTATGCCCTCCCTTTTTCCTCCTGCTTCGGCGGGCGGCTGGCGCCCGATCGGCATCAAGCGCCTTCGTGGAGCTGGCGCGTGAAGCAAGAGCAGCCGTGGCTTTTGAGGGGGACCTTGAGGGTTTTTGTGTCTGGGTTCTCCTCCATGGGGTGTTCTTCGCCCAGGACCTCCCCACGGGGTGCTGCCCCTTCCGCGACGGGGGCTCGTGTTCTTGGCCTGCACTCTTGTGGTTACGTTCCGAGGCCACCCGAAAGTGTGCAGAGATGATCGTGCTTCGCGCAGCGCGGTCGGGACCAGAGCGGCTGCCCCACTCCGGGGGCTAGTTACGGACATGTGGTAAAGACGTAGACTGACAGAGTCCTGCGCAGATGTCTCGAATTGGCGCTGGGCACCCCTCCCTGGCTTGCGAAGCGCGCCGTGGGCGGCGCCAGAAGCGCCGCCAAACGGGAGGGGGTGCAGCGCCGATCCAAACAGTCCGCGAGGAGCTCTGGAAGCTTTATGCTTTACTCTGTTCTTTATCCAGTGGCCTTCCGCCCATCCCGCCACCCCGCCTGGATTGTGGGTCGGAGTTCGCAGGGGGTCTTCTTCGGGTCTCTTCGGGGCGCTCTCGGGGGCCTCTTGGGTTGCTTTGGGGCCTCTCATGCTTGACGCCGTTGTTCATGTCCTCTGACAGGGGTCTGGACGGCGCAGGGGCGCGACGGGCGCGAGGATGTTCGTGCGTCGCGCGTGATCTGCGCGGGACGCGCGACGTCAGGTGGCCGAGCTTCTGGCCGGCTCGCGCCACTCTTTCGGGGGGGGGGGCCAGGCTCAAGCAGTGGCGAAGCGTCCTGGCTCGCCTCTATATGCTCAGTAAAGGGTGTTCTAAGAACCTTCTGTGGTCTGCTCGAAATGTTTCTAGAACATTTCTGGCTGAGACTGACCTGTGTTCACACATTTGGTTTGTGTTCTAAGAACGCTGTTTTTGTTATTCGAACGTTGTTTGGAGTTCTGAGAACATTCGTGGTAGGCCTATAGGAATGCTGGGACGGTCGGCCCCTGCTCAACAGGCGCCGAGCACAACATGTTCTGCGCGACGCCCGTGTCGGCCGCCGCGTACGTGAAGGAGAAGGGCGGCTGCCTCTGCCAGGCCCTGCGGTGGGGGGGTAGCATGCCGCGGCCCTTCCTCGCGGCCTACGTGCTCCCATCCCCTCGGCGAGGGGGAGGAGGAGGAGGAGGAGGAGGAGGAGGAGGAGGAGGAGGAGGAGGAGGAGGAGGAAGAGGAAGAAGAGAAGAAGAAGAAGAGAGGAGGAGAGGAGGAGGAGGAGGAGGGGGGGAGGGGGAGGAGGGGGAGGGGGGGGAGGGGTAGGGGGGGAGGAGGGGGAGGAGGGGGAGGAGGAGGAAGAGAGCGGGGGGGGGAGGGTGGAAGGAGGAGCGGGAGGCGGAGTCGGGGTCCGAGTCGAAGCCGAAGTCGGAAGAGGAAGGAGAGGGAGAAAGAGGAGGAGGAGGAGGAGCGCGGAGGGCGGAATGATGAGGGAGGAGGGGGAAGGGGCAGAATGCCATTCCAGTTTGATTCGCACGCCCTTCTTACGCTCTGTTTCACCATCCTTCTCGTGGCCTTCCCGCCTCCTGCCACTCTACTGAAGGTTTTCGAATGATTCTGCCACGCCGTCCTTCATCTCACTTCCAAGCTCCACCTCCTTCAGCTCACTTCCAAGCTCCGCCTCCTCATTTCTCTACTGAAGGTTTTCGAATGATTCTGCCAGGCCGTCCTTCGGGATTTCTTTTTGCCGTGGCACCCTCTCGTGGCCAGATTGCTCGACCTCCTTGGGCCGTTCTGATTGCCCGCGCGTTCCTTCCCCTCCCCATCCGCCTCCTCCGTCGCCGATGGAAGAACAGGTTTCGAAGTTCGATACTTTCCTATGGATTTCTTCGTGCAAGTGTTGTTTTGCACCGGGCGATTTCATCGCCACGGCCGGTTTCAGTTCCATCATGGTCAGAACGTATTTGACAAGGAAGAGGAGGATGAGGAAGAGGAAGATGAGGAGACAGATGAGGATGATGAGGATGAGGAGGAGGAGAAGGAAGATGATGAGGATGAGGATGATGATGAGGATAAATGATGAGGATGAGGATGAGGGGGAGGGGGAGGAGGAGGAGGAGGAGGAGGAGGAGGAGGAAGATGGGGTGTAATGATGTTGAAAGGTTTGGGGTTGTCAATTGTCAACTCCACTGCTCGCGCAGTCATATCACAAATCCACCCACCCGCAACTTGGCTTGCACTAGCCCAGCGTTTGCTCGCGCGCACAGCGGCCAGTTAGTTTGGCGCGACCGACCCGACCGCGGTGGCGCTGACCGTTGGGCATTTCCTGGCGCGTCTCGTATCATTGCGACGCCGACAGCGGTAATCACGATGATAGCAGCGACTATGGTGACGATGATGTCGAGGACGACGGCAAAGGCCATGACGGCGCCTCTGCGGATCGCACCGATGACGATGGTGCCCTCGCGTCGGTGTTATACGCTTTCTGAATGAAGAATATAGGAGCTCGGCGTGCGCGCGAGGCCGACGCGCGCGAGTGGCCCGCATGTTGTTACTTGACAAGGGCCGTGCCCCCCAAGCCCGCGCGCAAACGGCGTTCGAGTGTTGTCGACATGCGCGCGCGAGGGGCCCGCTAAGTCGAATTTGATGAACACGTGGAAAAACTTGTTTGTTGTTTGTCGGTAAAAAAACAGAAGCTCGCGCGGCCGTGCGTGTAGCTTGTTGTTCGAACATTGGCGTTGCATGTGTTTTTTTTTGTTGGGGGGGGGGGGCGTTTTCGGTTATTGAACTATTCCGGGTTGCGTACGCGACGGCGCGCGCGCGTGTGTATGTCGTTCCTTCTTGCAATGGAGTTTTGACAGTTCATGATGTGTGATACCCCAGTGTTGTGCGCGCATCGTAATCCTGTTGTAGGGGAAGGTGGGGGGTCGATGGTGGTCTGGCCGGCGTCGTACGCATTCATAGTTTGGATGGACGATGGGGCACACCCGTTCGCAAATTGCAAGACGAAGCGCTTCGCGATGGACCCCGTCCTCGGGGTGGTTGTGCGGTCTTTCCTGGTTTGTTAGATGTTAGAATTGAAAACGGATATTGTGCATCTCGTGTAGTGCAACACATGTTGTGCAACACGCGTGGTGCAGTCTATGAGGTTCTATATATAACGTGCAAGCTATGAGGTGCAGCATATGCGGTGCAACCTTTGTTGTGCAATATATTCGGAGCAGATTACGCTGCGCGGTTATCTAGGACGACGGCGGGGCAGTGACGGCGGCAACGTAGCCGCCAGACCGACGGACAGGCCCAAACGACATGCGCCGCCGGACCGACAGACACGCCCAGACGACGGGCGGCGACGGGGCGGCAACATAGCCGCCAGACTGACAGACAGGCCCAGACGACGGGCGGCGACGGGCTTGCGGTGGGGCGGCGACGGGGCGGCGACGGCGGCAACATGGCCGCTAGACCGGCCGACAGGCCCAGCTCCTTAGTATGTAAGAGGTGGGAACTAGGTGCAAGCGCTGTTTAGGGAATCGCACTCGTACGTCCACTGCCCGTAGCATAGATACATGGTTGTGTGGTGTGTGCTTGTGTGGGGGGGACGAATGGAGAGCCCCCCGCTTTTCACTCCCTCTCCCTGGCCCTCCCCTCCCTGCCTCCCTCTCCCCTTACCTGCCCTCCATTCCCTCCCCCTCTCCTCCCCGTATCCTCCCCTCTCCTCCTATTCTTCCCCATCGCCCCTTTCCTCCTCTCGCCCACCGTATCCCCTCTCCTCCTCCCCTTCTGCCTCCCCCGTCCCCTCCCTCATTCCCTCCCCCTTCACTCCCCCTTCCCTCCCCCTTTCCTGTCCCCATCTTCCCATCGATGCTCTTGCCGATGATTGTCGCGCGCTGGCCGGGGATTTCGAAGAGTCTCGCCCTCCCCTCGCTTCCTTTTGCTCCTCCCCTCCCCTCTCCTCGGGCACGGGGTGCATATTTCAGTGGGCTGGCCAGTTTGAGGTTGCTGAGCGTATCGTATTGGCAAGGGCATATGTTCACCACAAGCCTACTTGGAGTCTCGAGCTTGTCTGGACCGCTGCAGGCATACAGTAGTTCTTCAGTCCATTAGCTGCGCTGGGTGTGCAAGGTTTCCGTCCTACCTCCTCCCAGCCTCTCCTACATTCGACACTCAATTTTTCTCTCCTGCCCCCCGCCCCCTCTGCCCCTCCCCACAACTCCCCGGAGCACAAGGAGCGGGAGGGAGGGGGCGGGGGGAGGAAGGGGGGGAAGGGGGCGAGGAGGTGCGGCAGGATTTGGGAGGGGGCAAGAGGAGGGAGGTCGAGGAGTAGGAGGATGATGAGGTGGAGGATGGTGAGCAGGAGCAGCAGCAGCAGCAGCAGCATGGGGTGACGTCGAGGAGGAGCAGGAGGAGTGAGGAGGAGGAGGGAGATGGGAGTGAAATGGGATGACTTGGCCTCGGCGCCCCCCTCTGATAACACGGGTTCTACAGTTGCTCCTGCCCCTTTTCTCACGCAGGTTGTGCAGGGTTTCCCAGTTGCGGCCGTTTACGCAGGTTGCCGCTGTGATGCTGTGATGCTCCCAGTTGTTGCAGCTGCTGTTCTGAAGGATGATCGTGATAGGCAGCATGTAGAGTAGACGGAAGATGAAAGGAAGCATACACGGAGGAGGAGGAGGAGGAGGAGGAGGAGGAGGAGGAGGAGAGGGGGGAGCAGCAGCAGGAGGAAGAGGGATATATATATATATAGAGAGAGAGAGAGAGAGCGACTGAGAGAGAGAGAGAGAGTGAGAGAGAGAGAGAGACATAACTAAAGAGACAGACAGAGAGAGAGAGAGAGACATAGGGAGAGAGAGAGAGAGAGGATATGTCGGACGGGGAGGGTTAGGTTGAGATGGAGGAAGAGGAGGAGTGTGATGGGAGATGGGGAATTGGTGAATAATGATGGTGGCTGATGATCGGGGGCGGCAGGGCGGTAGGTGGAGGAGCGAGGAGGAAGCAGGATGAACCTGGGAACGCTGCAAGATGAACAAAAAGACGGGAGGAAGGAATCGCAGGGTGTTTCCGCCCGCCAGAGGCTCGCGACATGGAGAGCATGGGGCAGGAGCGCGCCGTTTCCGCTCTCGGTGGCGCCGTCCTGCTTGCCGTTGCCTCCGCCCCTGGTCCTGTCCCGCTGGTCGGGTCGTGCGGGCAGCGCGCGTTCGACGGAGGGCTGCAGCATATTCGTGCTTGCCCACGGCGCGGCTGCCTGCACAGTTGCTGGTTGTCCAGCTGCCCCCCGCAGTTCCGCCGCTTTTCTGTGTGGCAAGTCTCCGAGAAGGCAAAGGGGGGCCTGCTGGGGGCCTCTTGGGGCCGAAGGCTCGGATGCGTGGCTCGTGCCCCCACTCTTTGCCCTTCGTTTGGCCCTTCTCGGGGCCGTCTTGGTGCCCTCTTGGGCAGTCTTGGGGAGCCATCTTTGGGCCGTCTTGGAGCTCTCTTGGAGGCCTCTTGAGCGGGGAGTCTTGGGGGCCTTTTGGGCCGTCTTGGATTAGGCGAGCGCAAACATGGATCAAGGGCGTGGATTAGCGACGGGTCCCGTTTCCATGGGAAATCGCTGATTTCCGCCGCCGAACGAGGCTGCACCGGCCGCATTTTGGAGAGGGCACCTCCCCCGATCCATGGATTTGGCGACCGCGCGCCAACTCCATGGACCGCTAATCCATGTTTACGCGCCCCCGAGTGAAGCGTCGGAGGCTCGACAAGGCGAGAACCTCAAAAGATCAATCAAAGGCATTGGCTTCTCGGGGGGCCCTCTTGGGGAGCCTCTTTTCGCCGCCCTCTTGGAGCCTCCGGAGCCATCTTGGAGCGGGAGGCTCCGATTGTTGATTCGTGTTCACCCTCTTGGGTCTTTCGTGGGGCCGTCTTGGGGCCCTCTTGGGCATTCTGGTGGGACTTTTGGGCCGTCGTGGGCCGTCTTGGAGCCGTCCTGGGCGCCTCGGAGGCCGTCTTGGGGCAGTCCTGGTGGCCTCTTGGGTGGACTTGGGACTCCAGAAATTCGAACAGGCGCGAACCCAAACAACGTTGCAAAAGCTACGGGATCAAACTGATAGTTGCTTCTCGAGGCCCTCTCGGGAAGGCTCTTTGGGCTTCTTTGAGACGCCTCGTCCTGAAGCCATCTTGGGCCGTCTTGAGGCTCTCGGGCCGTCCTGGAGCGGTGTTGGACAGTCTTGGAAGCACCTGGGCATCGGGAGCGCGAGCCTGTCGCGTTGTGCACTGGTCTCGGGAAGGGAGGGGACGATGCACGCGGTTGGGTGCGTCGAGAGGGGGTCTTCCGAAAATGGCAGAACCCCTGCCAGACAGCACCAGGCATTCTAGCACGCCTCAACGTGCCAGTGGGCACGGGGATGTAGTTGGCTGCCTGCGCAGTTGATATATAGTTCGGCGCTGGCTGTTGAAAGTATATATGTTTTGAAGTCCAGATCCCGATCTACTTCATTCGTCATCAAATGTCATGAACCGATGTGAGTTTGCTGTGGTTTGGTATGCTTTGGGCGCGCCCGGACCCGTTCTATTTTATCCGCGTTCCTACCTAATGTTTCTGTTGGTGGGTCTGTACATGTATCTGTAGCCCTCCACCCGATGTACCACTCCACGCGCGTACACGTACGCCTGCGCACGCGCATAAGCGCGCACTCGCACGCGCTTGGACGCGTTCGCATACACCCACGTGCACGTAGACGCAGACGCAGACGCAGACGCAAGCACACGCGCACATGCCCATAACGCTTGGAGGCGTGCGCGCGTTTGAACTACACGTGCCGAGCGCTTGATTCCCAACCATCCTGTGCCTAGTTGGGTCCCCGTTTTGAAGAGACAGCGCCCCGCGCCTCCTTTCTCCGCCTCCTCCCTCCTCCCATCAGTTTCCTTCTGCCTTCCGCTCGTCAATTTCGGCACGCCCCTTACACGCTTCGCGGCTCCAAAGGGAGCCCCGCAGGACGTTCTAGTGGCGCAGTCGCATGAGTCACCGCTACCCATTCCGCCGTCCATATGCTTCGTGGCCCCATCGTGCGCTGAACCGAAAGTCCCAGTGGCGCAATTCGCATGTTTCCCAGCAGCCCATGTTGGCACACCCTTTCACACTTGTCGTGGCCCCGCAGGGGGGCTCCACCGCAGATCTGAGTGGGGCAGTTCGCGCGGGTCCCCGCCACGACTTTCGCCACACAATTTCACACGTTTCGTAACCCCAGAACGGGCCTACCGAAGGTTTCAGACGAGCAGTTCGCACGCGTCCCGCCACCGATTTCGTCACGCCGCCCACATTCCTCGTGGCCCCATAGGGAGCTTCACTGGAGGTCCTAGTGGTGCATTTCGCACGCGCCCCCGCCACCCTGTTCGGCACACCGCTCACGCGTTTCGTGGCCCCAGAAGGATCTCCACCGAATGTCCAAGTGGCGCAGTTTGCGCGCGCCCCTGCCACCGATTTCGGCGCAACCCTCACGCGTGTTGTGGCCCCACAGGGAGCCCCACATAACATTCCCGCGGCAACGTTGGCGTGCGCCCCCCTGGCCCACCGCGCGTCCATTTCGGCGCGCTCTGCGCGCGCGTCGTGGCCCTGTGAGGAGCTCCACCGAAGGCCTCGGTGTCGCTCCGTGGCCACCCTGGCCCAAGGTCGTACGTTTTTTTTTGGGGGGGGGTAAGAGCTGGATGCCGCTAGCCCGCGGCTTGCCCTCGATACGTTGCTTCGCCCCTGCGTGCGTCGGGCAGGCCCCCTCGCGTTTTGGGTTGCTTTTGTGGTGCTCATCTTGTGCGTCTCGTCGCGGCAAAGTACTGGAAGTGCAGTTGCGGGGGGTTCAACACCAAAGGCCGTTGAATTTGTGGACTGCGGGGCAGTTCGCGAGCCCCGATAAACCTGGGGCGCGGGCTCGCCGACTGGCCCCGCGTTATGGGTCGCTGGCGACATGCGGGCGGGCAAGCAGTGGAACCAGGAGCAGCGGGGGCCGCGGTCGCTCTCGGGGGGCGACAGTCGGCGGCCGTCCTCGGGGACCACGCCTAGCTCCAGTGCCCAGCCCCAGTGAGGTCCAGGAGCGGCCTTCGAGAATATCAATGTCAAGGGCGCCCTGTCCACGTCTTGCCAGGCCAGGCTGGGGGCGCTCGGCGCGCTGCTGCTGCTGAGGCACTGGGCGCCGCCGGGCGCGGAGCTCTTCAGGCCGTGGGAAAGGTGGCTCGCTCCCTGCAAATACGGGGGGCCGCTCCGTTAAGAAGGGGGGGGGGGGGGGCGTCGAAGCGCTGGCCGCGGCGGCGGGGGCCGACGTCGATGTCGCGAAGCTGGGGCAGGGGCTGGGGCGCGCGAGGCAGGGGGCCGCCGAGCTACGCGGTGGCGCAGCGGGCGGCGTCGACGCAGAGCAGCTCACGGCCAAGCTCGCCGCGATTCCAACCGAGCGCGTCTCCCTGGACGACTCCCGCAAGGGCCTCCAACCCGTCGTCAGCGAGCTGAGGCAGCGCGCCAGCGCGCCGGAGCAGCTGGCCGCGCAGTAGCCCTCAGCCGCGCCAGGCGCAGGTGGAGGCGCAGGAGGAGGTAGCCCTTCAGCGGCGGAGGGGCCAGTTCCACGGGAAAGCGACGAGGCCAAGTTCGATGTCTTCACGGGCTGGGCTGACCGTGGTGGCCTGTTGGGCGCTCGCGGGCGCGGCGACGCCGAGCGCGAGCACGCTGCCGACGCCCTCGGGGCCTCGCGCGCAGCTAGGCGGTTCAGTGCGAGGAGGCGCCCATGATGGTCGGCTCTGACCATCGGTGCCGACGCGCTTAGCAGACTCGAGGCGACCCAGCGGCGCTGCGCGGCGCGGCGCAGCGACGCGGTTGCCAACGAGGTGACCGCTAAGCTGGCGCATCAGGGGCGGCGCGCGCAAGCGCGCCCTGCTGTTGAAGCGGGGCCCGGCGCCCACGGCCACGGCGGCCCAGTCCAGCTGGCGCCTCGCGAGCGTCGGCTCGGAGCATTCGGGGCCAAGGGCGGGTTCGATTCCCCCCCCGGGCGCGCCAGCGATGCCCGCTTCGCGGGGGTCGTGCCGGGCGGGGTAACTCGGTTCAACGAGTGCCTGAGAGTCAGCGAGGGCCTCTCAGATTTCAATCGCAAGGTGCTGCAGGTAGCCCCCGCGCAGTCATGCAAAACGGCAAGCCCGTCATCGCGGGAGAGGGCTTCAACAGGGCCCCCCCCCCGAGCTGGCGTTGTCGGGGTTCTTCGGCGCGCTCAGGTTGAAGGTTCATGCCCCGGACGATGGAGCGCGCCGTCCAGGAGGGCAGATCGTCGCTTTCTGAGTTGGCAGCGTCGAATTCGGCGAGGCTGAGGCGAAGGTGCCGCACGGCGGGGACCTCGCCCCTCGCTGCCCAGTCGAGCTGAACATTGGTTGGCATTCGATGGCAGGGAAAATGCGGGTCGTGAAGTGCCCGACGCGGCGCCCGCGACCGCGCCCGCAGGCGCGCTGGTCTGCGAGTCGATGTCGACGCGGCGGGCGACGCAGGCGACGGGGTCGATCGATCCACCGGGCGAAGTGGAATATCATCGGTGTCGCGCGGCTTGCGACTGGCTACAGTAAGCGCGCGGGTCGAAGCGACGGGCCGACGCTCGAGGCGGCGGAGGCCACGGCCCAAAGTTTTCCTAGCACCCCAGTGGTCGCGAACGCACCGCGCGGCGCGTGCGCGCGGCCATCGCGGCCGCGGCCTTGGTCGCAGTTCGCGTTTGCGCTGCGCGAGATGAGGGCCATCGGGGCGGTGGGCAAGCTGCGAGGCAGGCAGCCCCGCAGTCAGGGTCAGTTCGGCCAAGGTGGGCTCCAGGAACTTTCGAGGTGCTGGCCGTCGCGGCGCCGACCCTCGACATCGCCGCCCTCCACGGCGCCGGCTTCTTTTCGAACGGCCTGGCAGGCGGCTCGGCTCAGCGGGGGGCGGGCGGCGGCGGGGGGGTTCATCGGATTCGCGTATCCCCGCCAGCCCATTCGCACGCGCTGCCCGCGGGTGATGACGGGAAAAGGGACGAAGATACACGCGTCGGGAAACAGAGCGAGCAAACAGGATGAACCGAGAGATCTCTGGGAGCAAGGGTGGCCTTGGAAGACCTTCTCGGGCCATCCCGGGGGGCCGCGCGGGGGCGAGGGGAAGAGGGGGGGAAGACGAGGGGATGGTGGGGGGATCCAAAGAGTGCGATCCCTGGTGATGCTGCTGCTGCTGGTGCTGCTGACGCTGCTGCTGCCTTTGCTGGTGCTGCGGCTGGTGCCCTGGAAGGCCTGTTGGGGCCATCTAGGGGGGCGTCGGTCAAAAGATGGGGGGCCCTCGATTTCGGCCCGCTCCCAGGAGCCTTCAATATCGCGTCTTGGAGCTCTCCTGGGGTTCTTTGGGAGGGTATTGGAGCTCAGTCGGGGCTCTTTCAGGGGTATCGGGGCTCTCCTGGGGCTCTCTTGGGGTCCTGTTGGGGGCCTTGGAAGGCCTCTCGGGGCCATCTTGAAGGCCGTCGATCGAAGGGGGGGATGGCGCGACGCCCAGCCCCCCCCCCCCCCAAAGCGGTCAACATGGGGCCGAGACCTCAGCGACGCACGATGATTTGGAAGCCCAACGGGGCGGCGTGACAGACGCCGGCGCCCCCCCCCCCCCAACGAGGCCGACGACATGGGGCCGAGGCCTCAGTAAAACTAATAGTTTGGGCGCCCGGAGGGCTGGCGGGATAAAGTTCGCCCCTCCTAAGAGAAGCCAAAATGGTCCGAAACCTCAGTGGAGCCAGTGTTTTTGGCTTCCTCGCCGAGGCCGTTCTGGGGGCGGTTTGACACCTCGTGGGCCCCCAAGCAAAAGTCCAGGGGAGGGGTGGGGGGAGGGGTACCCCCCCCCCCGTCGGGAAAATATGTTTTTGGGAGGAGTGAAGAGATATCTCGTTATATCACCTTTGCCCAGAAGGCTGGTGGGATTTCAACGACCGTCGAGCGCCGCTCCGCAGGATGGGTGGTCCTCCGCGCCCTCGCCAATGCGCCGCGAGGCCTGGCGCCTCGGCCCAGGGGCTTTGCCTGGGGCGGCCCCCTCCGACCCTTCTGGTGACCTTCGAAGCCTTGGCGAGGGGGTGGTCTGGGCCCGCCCCCGCCTGGGGCCGAGTTCAAGGAGGTCGACATCCAGTAGCCCGCCGAGAATGGCGAGTGACCCCGACGCCTACGTTCGGCGAGGTCAGGGAGGTCATCGGCATCTTCGAGGGGGCCATGAGTTCGCCGCTCGACTCCTTCAGGCCGCGCGAGCTGCAGCTGCTGGGCGACGAGGGCATCGAGGCGCTCACCGACATTCTTTATGAAATCGAGCTCAACTGCGAGTGGCCCGACTTCGCCACGAAAGTGGCCATCGCCCATGCGGCGGGCGCCAGGCTGCGGCCGGTCGCGCCCCCGGGGGCGCTGCCGCGCGTCTGGGGGCGGCCCGGACGTCCGCCGGCGAAGCAGCGTCGGGGGCCAACCGCGACGGGTTTGTTTGGCGGGCCAGCGCCGGCGAGACTTTCGACAGAGCTGCGCGGCGGCAGCTGGCGCGTGCTGAATAGGACCACGTCGTGGCGGCGGTCCACAAGGAGAAACAGGACTGGGCGTCAGCCTCGGTCCTGCTCGACGAATGGAGGGCTCTCAAGCAGACCCTCCGCGGGCATCTGGTTGGCGCCTGCGAGCACCGCGGGCGCCCCTCCTCGCCGGGCCGAGCTACAGGTCAGTCTCTACAGGATGCCGCGCGCGATCTGCTTGGGGCTCCGCTCTGACGAGATGGCCATCTTGCAAATGGCGCTGTTGGGCGACGCGTTCGCGACCGCGCTCTCGAAGGCAATGTTGCCCACCCCGCTCGACGTTCTAGCCAGGCGGCAATATCGAGTGTCAGCGGCGGCGGTCGCGCGGGATTCGGCGCTGAAGCGCTTAGGAGTCGCCCACTTCGTGGAGGAGGACATGCTGGCCAGCGACAGGACGCTGATCATGGAGCTCGGGGGGTCAAGCTCAAGGCGGCGGTGAACAAGTCAAGGGTGCTTGCCAGCTCCGCCGCGCTACGCGACGGCACGCCCGCTGCGCTGGCCAAGGGAAGGGGGCTTTCTTGGCGGCGTCCCGCGCGCGCGAGCTCGGCGTCGACGGTCGGGCCCTGCGCCCCAAGCGGAGGCACGGGGGCGTCCGAGATCCCCAGCTGGTCCTGGTCGCTTGACGCTGAGATCTGGTAGTCCACCAGCTGATCATTTTCCGCGTCCGCAAGGCGTGCTTGAGGTGTGGGCACTTTGCCGCATGTCGAAGAGATCAGGGGCACGTGCTGCGGCTTCGGGGCGGTTTGTGAGAAGACCAAGTCCAAGGGGGCCGAAAAGGGGCAGGTGGCGGAAGGCCAACACGATCACAAGGGGAGTGGGCTCCAGGCGAGGAAGGCTGGTCTCCTGAGCGGGCGCCTGCGCGTGAGGCCCGTCTTTCTCAAAGCCCCTCGCGCGTCGGCGTCTGGCGAGCCTGCGGCGGGCAGCGTGTCGAAGGGCGGCCGTCTGCCAGCCGCCAGCGCCAGGTCAAGCTGGTTCAATGCCGGTTCAACTTCGCAGAAGCAGAGCGGGGCTTGCTGCGCGCTCTGCTGCGTCATGAGCAGAACGCTTCAGTGCCAGGGTGAGCCTGCGGCTTCCCGTTCGCAGCATGTCCATGCCGGCGCGCTCTTCACCCAGTTCGCGACCCCACAACAAGCGACCAAACATCCCAATGACAAGGTTGTCATGTCGCCCTCCACCCACCGCATGCCCGCTTGAACACGCCATTCACAGTTCTCGTGGCCCCGTACGGAGGTTTCCCCCACCTTCGTCTCACCTGCATCGCGGTATTCGCACCTGCATTTGGTTGGGTTTTTCGCCAGGATCGTTTAGATGCTCCGGTTGTTCATCTCCGCGACTCGAGGAAGGAGGCTGCGTCGAGCAGACCAGGGACGAACAAGGGGATAATGAGAACAGGGCGAGCTAGGGCGGATGGAGGGGTCACAGCATGAGGGCAACAAGGACCGAACATACCAACACGCAAGGCGACCACGACGATGCCGACGACGACCGACGACGACGACGGGGACTAGGTGGGCTGACGGTCCGCGTTAAAGTACGGATTCAGAAAGGGTGCTGCAACCCTCGCCCCTGAACACAGGCACCCCTCCCCCAGTTGCGCTTTGAGCCAGGACCACTGGCACTGGAAAGGGTTGGCGGGGCAGGTCGAGAAAGCGATGGAGATGTTGATGATGATGATGCTGCTGATGATGATGATGATGATGATGACGATGATGCTGATGATGATGATGCTGGTGATGATGGTGATGATGGTGATGATGATGCTGCTGATGATGACGCAGATGGTGATGATGCTGTTTGGGCTGGTGATGATGGTGGGAGTGGAGATGTGGATGGTGTTGTTGTTTATGATCAACTTTAGGCTATGACAACATAAGTATGCCGTTGTTTATGGTGATGGTGATGCTCATTGTGATGATGAGACGGAGGATGAGGAAGAGGAAGAGGAGGAGGAGGAAAAGGAGGAGGAGGAGGCAGAAGAGGGCAAGGAGGAGGAGTACGAGGAGGGATGAGGATGATGTGATTGTCATCGACGGGGCAACGACAATGATCAGCATGAGTGGTGAGGAGGGTTGGGGGAGGGAAGAGGCCTGGACCTGCAAGGGGTCAGGAGCAGGAGACCGAGAAGGGATGATGCGCAGAGGGAGGCTGACTATAAGAAGGGGGAGGATGCGGAGGATCAGCATGAGGAGACTGAATCTGGAAAGGGGGCACGGTATTCTTAGGAGGAGTTGGGGGGCGTGCCAGGGGGGGCCCACGAGCAGGACGAGGACCCATGGATCCGATGTATCGCTTTGCCCGACCATCCTGTGGTGTTGCTTGTTCGTTCTCAAGAGACAACTCCCCGCGTTCCTCTCTCCCTCACCGGTCGTCCTTCCCCTCCTTCTCCTCCTTCTCCTCTTTCTCCTTCTCCACCTCCTCCTCCTCCTCCTACTTCTCCTCCTCCTCCTCCTCCTCCTTCTCCTACATCATCTTCACTATGCAGGCACACCCGTGAACGTTTCGTGGCCTCCATGTGGAGCTTCACTGACAGTGGCAGGGTCCATTCGGATGCAACTCCTGGGAGGTCAAATTCTGATTTTGCCCTGGTCCGAAATCTGGTCTAATTCCGCTTAATCCAGCTTAATCCCGCTTAATCCAGCTATATCCCGCTTAATCCGAGGCGCACTCCAGCGTAACAGCCCCCCAATGGGGCTTAACCCTCCTTGGTCCTGCCGACGAAGACCTCCCAGCAGTTGCTTCCTGAGGTCCACCCGCGTCCCACCGAACCATCTCGGCACACCCCTCGCACCTGCGTGCCCCCATGCGGACTCCGCAGAAGGCCTCAGTGGCAGGGTCCACATGCCCCCCCCGCCCCAGTTCGCCACACCCCTCACGCGGCCCGTGTCCCTGTAGGGAGTTCTCCTGGAGGACCCAACGGCAGGGTCCACGTGAGCCTACCGGACCAATCTCGGCGCATCCCTCACAGGCTTCGTGGTCCCATAGGGAGCTCAAGGAAGGCACCAGTGGCAGGGTCCACATGCGCCTGCAGGTCCCATGTCGGCATACCCCTCACCCGCTTGGTGACCCCACAAGGGAGCTCCACCAAAGGCCCAAATGGCAGTGTCCACATGCGTTCCCCCGCACATGTTGGCACACTCCTCACACGTTGCTTGGGTTCATGAGGGGGCTCCACCGAAGGCTCCAGAGAGCCTACATGCGTCCGTCAGCACGATTTCGGCACGCCCCTCGCACGTTTCGTGGCCCGATAGGGAGCTCCACCAGAGGCCACAGTGGCAGTGTCCACATGTGGCCGCCCGACTCGTGTCGGCACATCCCTCACCCCTTTGGTGGCCCCATAGGGGTTCCACCGAAGGCCACAGTGGCAGTGTCCACATGCGTCCGCCCGACCCATGTCGGCACATCCCTCATTCGTTTTGTGTCCCCATGCGGGCTTCACCGAGGGCACCAGCGGCAGGGTCCACATGCGTCCGCTCTACCCATTTCAGGACACCCCTCAAACGTTTCGTGGCCCCACAGGGAGCTCCATCGAAGGCCCCAATGGAAGCGTCCACATGCGTCCTCCGGACCCATTTCGGCACGCGCCTCGCACCGTTCGTGTGTGAGAGTCCACATGGGTCCGCCCGTCCCATTTCGGCGCGCATTTCACACGATTTGTGGCCCAATGGGGAGCTCCACCGAAGGCTCCAGTGGGGGGGCCCACATGCGTCCACCCGACACATTTCGGCACACCCCTCACGTGTTTCGTGGCCCCATAGGGAGCTCCACCGAAGGCCACAAACACAGGGTCCACATGCGTCCGCACGTCCCAGGTCGGCACGCCCCTCACGTGTTTCGTGACCCCATAGGGAGCTCCACCGAAGGCCACAGTGGCAGGGTCCACATGCGTCCGCACGTCCCAGGTCGGCACGCCCCTCACGTGTTTCATGGCCCCATAGGGGGCTCTCCACCGAAGTTGGTTCTCACAATTGCGTTGCTCACACATGCCTATGGGTTGGTCCTTCGCCATAGTTATTTTCAGTGCGCGGCTCTCGGAAGTTTTAACTCTTGTCCCCGGGGCCGGTTCTTCATTCCGAGTCGCTCTGTGACGGTCCCAGGGCCCAGCAAAGGCCCGCGGATGCCGAAAACGGCGAAAAGCCTCCGAACTCTCCTCCTCCTCCTCCTCCTCCTTCTCCTCCTCTCTGATGCTGTCAGATTGGGAAAGCTCTTGGGAAAGTTCCTCCTCCTCCTCCTGTTTCAATGCGTCGGAGGTCTGTGGCGAAAAGGCGAGCCGCCCTCGACCCTGCCCCCCCTCCTCCCTCAGACCACCTGCGACCCGTACTGAGCGGGGGCGCCGGGCCTGCGCCTTGCGCGCGGGCGGGCCAGCTCCCCCGGGGGCCGCGGGTGCCCGACGCTCGTCGTCGTCGTCATCGTCGTCGTCGTCGTCGTCTTCGAAAAATCTCCTCTGCCGCTCCTCCTCCCTCCTCTCCTCCTCGATCCCCTCCCCCCTCCTCTTCTCCTCCTCCCTCTCCTCCCTCCCCTCCTGCCGCTCCCCCTCCCCCTCCTCCTCTCCTCCCCTCCTCTCCTCCCCTCCTCTCCTCCTCCTCCTCCTCCTCCCCCTCCTCCTCCTCCTCCTACTCTTCCTCCTCCTCTTCATGCTACGCCTCCCCTCCTTCCTCTCCTCTCCGTCTCCTCTCCTCCTCTCCTCCCCTCCTCCCCTCCCCCCCTCCCCCTCTCCTCCTCCTCTTCCTCCTTCTCCTCCTCTTCCTCCTCCTCCTCCTCCTCTCCTCTTTCCTCCCCTCCTCCCTCTTACATTCCCTCCCTCCTCTCCTTCCATTCCTCCTTTGTTCATGCCCTTCCTTCCCTCCTCCCTCATTTTCTCCTTCCTCTTCATGCCCCTCCTCGGATCGCTTGTTGGAGCAGAGAGCAGTTTGCTGGCATGATGTTTTTCTCAGGCTCTCATTTACCCTAACTGTCGAACTGAGGGTTTTCATCAGATGACCACGACTTCGTGTCCATGCCGCGGTTCCCACCACCACCTCTCTTCCTCTTTCTCCTCTTCCTTCTCCTCCTACTCCCTCCCTCTCTCCCTCCCTTCCAAACAAACAGTTGCATATACGTGAACTTCAGGAGCTCAGCGCAGATTTCTTGGATCCGCGCTCAACCCAAGAAGTCCGCGCGGACCGTCGAGCCTTGACGTTGCTGCCGTTGTTTGTTCCTCTACTCATCCAGCCTACAGTGGCCCACAGGGTCCGCAGAGGCTTCTGGCCCACCAGGAGGGGCACCATCCGCGTGAGGGTTGCCAGTCCTTCTTCGAGTGCCAAAACGCGCGGCCCACAGCTGGCCCACCGAGCCGGCAGAGTCCTCGAGCCTGTTGGGAGGAGCGCCATCCCCGTGAAGGTTGCCACCTTTGAAGGCCAAGGTTCTCGGCCCATAGCTGGCCCACGGAGCTGGCTCCTGCCCACCAGGAGGGGCACCGTCCTTGCGAGGGTCGCCACTCTTCGAGGGCCAAAGCGCCCGGCCCAACGCAGGCGCACAGATGGCAGAGGTTTCCGATGACGCAAGTTATGATGCCAGCAAGGAACCCTCGCATGCTAGAGCATACTTGGGAAACGATTCCTTCTGGTGTGCCCGTTGTGCACCAACGTTCAGCTGTACCAACCGCACGTCGCAAAGACCAACACGCCCACGCGCACACCCACACTCACACCCACACCCACACCCACACCCACACGCACACCCACACCCACACCCACACCCACACCCACATCCACACCCACACCCGCACGCGCGCACGCCCACCCACCCACCAACCCACCCCCCCACCCACACACACACACACACAAACATGCACACGCACGCACATGCACACGCACACGCACACGCACACGCATACGCACACGCACATGCACACGCACACGCACGCGCACGCGCACACGCACGCACACACACACACCACTCCCGCAACACACACACACACACACGACACACACACAGCACACCACACAAGACATACAGCACACGCACACAACACAACACACATAACGCACAACCTACACACAACACACACACACACCCTGCGCTGCGAGGCCCTACATACACGGGAGTTGCATCTTCCCAACGAGGAATCGTACGTGTCATAGTTTTGCCTTGTGTATCATCTTGTGACCGACTTGAGGCCTCTTGGGACACTCTGGAGGCTTTCTCTCTGCCCTGACATATTCCAACATGGAGGTCTACTCTGTTGGTTTCACGCATGAGCCATCCTGTGACTGCCCTGGGGGCCCTCGCGAACCCTCTTGCGGTCTTCCTGCGACTCAGGCATGTTCCTTGCCTACAACGATTTCGTTCCGTGCGGTCTGGACCACAGCCCCAGGCCATTCGCACCATCGGGCCACAGTTTCAGACACTGTTTGCTGTCGTTGTTGTTGTTGTTGTTGCTGTTGTTGTGGTTGCTGTTGTTGTGGTTGTTGTGGCTAGTGTTGTGATTGTGGTTGTGGTTGTGGTTGCTGTTGGTGTTGGTGTTGTTGTTGTTGATGGTGATGCTGATGATGATGATGATGATGATGATGATGATGATGATGATGATGATGCTGATGTTGTTGTTGTTGCTGTTGTTGTTGTGGTTGTTGCTGTTGGTTGTTGTTGTTGTTGCTGCTGTTGTCTGATCGCTTTTGCTTACAAACCGATTGCTTTCTGTGTGTCAATTTTACGCTCCCGCTCGTGAGCCTCATTTTTGGATTGGCGCTTTGCTCCCGTCGTTCAGAATGGCGCTCTCGCCTCAGCGCGAGCCACTCTTATGGTTCCGAGTCTTGCTTGAGTGTGGTCCACCCCCTCATTTCCCCTCTTGCGCCTTCCCCTGGTCCTCTTCTTCTTCCGTTCTTTTTACTCCAGTTCCTGTTGCTTCTGTTTTTCTCGCCCCAGCGCAGGCCACTTCTCTGGACCCGAGTCTTTATTCGTCGTTGTCGCTCGCCTCATTTCCCCTCTTCCGCCTGCTGCTGCTATTCGTCCTCAACCTTTCTTTTCCTCCCGCTCATCCTCCTGCTCCCCCGCCATCTTCTCCTCCTCATCCTCCTCTTCCTGTGTACACAGCTCCTCGTTTTCCGATGGTGCATAACACGAAGTGGTCTCTCTGTGGGAGTCTCAGGTTGCCTGTGGCGCGCGCCCGCTGATGGGGAACAGCCAGCGCCACTGGAAGGGATGGGAGGGAGCGGCAGGACCATCCTACCCCACCCTCCCATCCCTCCCAATCTGGCATTGGCAGATGACCGACCCCTCCCCCCATCATCCTACCCCTCCCCCATCATCCTACCCATCACCCTGCCCCTCCCCTCCTCATCCTACCCATCCCTCCCATCCCTCCCATCCCTTCCAGTCCGACACTGTCAGACGCGGCGCGAGCGCACCCGTGCCCTGCTCTTGCTCCCCTCTCTCTCGTCCTCGGCCTGGGCCCGCGGGGCCGCGGGCCGCCCGCGAGGCGGGCGGGGCGCCCAGCCATGGCCGCCGCGGCCCCAGAGGAGCCCGCGTGGCTGGCGTGCTACCGCGCCAGGCAGAGCCCGGAGGAGACTCCCGGGGCTCAAGAGACGGGGGTCCATGCAGACGGGGGTCAGCCAGAGCGCCCGATCTTGCAGGATCCTGCAGGGCCGGGGTCGCACTGACCCGGGCTTGGGTGCGGGATCCTGCAGGATTTTGCAGGATCCTTCGCGTTGACCCCGGTTTGGGTGTAGGATCTCGCAGGATTCTGCAGGGCCTGACTGACCTGGGTCTGGATTGACCCGGTCAGAAGATCTCCGAAGGGGGATGAGCGACGCCAGAAATTATTCCCCCACTCAGTGCCTGCACTGAAGGGGTCCCAGCGGAAGCTGAAAGATTTGGGAAAGTTTCCCGCCGCTTTTGGCGGCAGGCTGGGTTCCCGGGTTCCCGGTTCCGGTTTCCTGGGTTCCTGGTCATTGGTTCCGGGCCGATTTCGGTTGGATTTGGGTTCCTGGGCTCCTGGGTTCCCGGTCGATCTCCTCAGCGAAAACCATCCATTAATTGGGGTGTTTCTCTCGTGCGATGATGTTCCATCCTCCTTTTAGCCTTGATCGCCAGAAAGCATTTCGAGCACCAAGAGGTTCTTAAGTACGACTGTAACAACATAAGCCAAACAATTGTGTCGTCTGTGCCGCCGTTGGCGCGTAAGCTGCCCGCGTAAGGTCGCGCGCGAACGCCCTCGTCTCCAGTGTGGCGTGCCGCGCTGGCGGCCCGGGTCAGCCACCGCGTAATGTCTCTATGCCGTCCCCCGTGAGACCCGTTTTCTATCGTCTCTCAGGCGGGGATAGCGAGGCTCCCAGACATCGCGCGTTTCGAGAAAGCCAAGACGGTTGTGTTTCATCGTTATTCAGCCCCTCGAGGTCCTCGCAGGGCCTGGGGACCGTCAATCTGGTTGAGCCCAAATGGGTCCAGCGACAAGGGGGTTGTGCAATAGCTTTGGTGCAATATATTTGTGGGTTGCAGTATATTTGGGGCGTGTAAACAATTTCGGAGCGCAAACGTATTGCTGGATTTTCGCGTGCAGTACATTACTTGCAATACAATGCAAGACAACTCTCGAGCGCAATACATTGGCAATACAATTGCCGCAAATCTATTGCAGCACCCCCTTTCAGCTGGACTCCCTTTCGGGTCAACAAGAGTCAAAAAGCAGCTCAAGGTCCGGGGCCCGTGCCTCGAGAAAAGCGAGACGCCGGATGTCTGGGCTTCGGATTGCGCACAGGCAGCCTTCCCAGGTAGTCCCCGCTGGCCTCAACAGGCCCCCCGAGAAGTCCAGGGCGATCTCAACGCACCCACACCCTGGGGCGGGGAACGCCCTGGGGGGCGCTGGCTGAGGTGGCGCCAGTGTGCTGAGACCAGCCCGGGGCACGCGGGGGGCCTGCTGAGCTCTTCGGGGGCCTGTTCAGGCCCGCGAAGACGACCCGGGGTGGGCTGTCTGTGCGTGACTCAAAGCCTGACCAGGCGCGGGGGAAAGGCGGGGGTCAGGGGAGGAAACGATGATAAAAGAATCGCTGCTCATCCTGGAGACCCCGCGTCGCCACGGCTGGATTCCCCTCGAGATTCTTGTCAGAAGGCAGGTTTGGAGAGGTCCGGGGAGTAGTTGTTGACTTCTCGTCTCCGTAAGGGGAGGTGGTGGACGGGCGAGGGGGACGAGGAGGAGGGGGAGAAGGGGGAGGATGAGGACTAGGAGGAGGTTCGGGAGGAGGGGGTAAATGGGGGAGGAGGAGGAGAAGAAAGAGAAGGAGGAGGAGGGGCATGCTGATGATGATGGTGATGATGACGATGATGATGATGATGATGATGATGATGATTATGATGATGATGACGATACTGATGATGATGATGATGATGATGATGATGAGGCTGAGGAGGAGGAGGATGAGGATGAGGATGAGGATGAGCATGGGGATGAGGATGATAATGATAATGATGATGAGGATGATGCTGATGATGATGATGATGATGCTTGTGGTGGTCATGATGATGAGGGCGATGATGTGGATGATGTGGAGGATGGGGCGGGGAAGACTGGTCAGGGGGAGGAGGAAGAGCAACGCGGGGTGACGGGGAGGAAGGGCACAAGACGGATGAAGTGGAGGAGGAGGAGGAGGAGGAGGAGGAGGTCACGGCGGGGTGGGTGTCGAGCGGAGGGGGGAGGTTGACGATGGTGGTGATGATGTTGCTGATCTTGATGCTGATGCTGATGTTGCTGTTGATGATGACGATGGTGCTGATGATGATGATGATGATGATGATAATGATGATGATGATGATGATGCTGATGGTGATGGGGAAGGTGATTGTGACGATGAAGGTGATGATGATCATGTGATGATGATGGTGATGATGTTGATAATGATGAGGATGTTGTTGCTGATGGTGATGAATCTGAATCATGGTGATGATGAAGATGATGATGATGCTGATGATGATGCTGATGATGAATCTGGTTCTGATCGTGATGATGGTGTTGATGACACTGATGATGCTGATGCTGATGATGATGTACTAAGCTACTCATGATGAGGATGCTGATGATAATGGCGATGAGGATGACGATGTGGCTGATGAAGATGCATGCGGCAATGCTGATGATGGTGCTGATGTTGATGCTGATGTTGATGAGAAGGATGCTACTGGAGTTGATGATGATGTTGGTGATTGGGATGACGATGACGATGATGACGATGCTGATGATGTTTATGGTAATGATGCTGATGATGATGATGATGATGATGATGATGATGATGATGGTGATGACGATGACGATGCTGATTATGATGATGATGATGATGATGATGATGATGATGATGATGATGATGGTGACGATGATAGTGATGATGCTGGTGCTGATGATGACGCTACTTCTGAGGATTGTGATCATGATGGTGACGATGATGATGCTAATTATGACGATGATGATGATAAGGATGCTGATGCTGATGGTGATGTCGATGCTGCTGCCGATGATTGTGACGCTGATGATGACGGTGGTGACGATGATCATGACCATATGATCATGACGTTGATGTTGATGATGACGATGATGATACCGATGACGATGACGATGACGATGATGATGATGATGATGATGATGATGATGATGATGATGATGATGATGATGATGATGGCTATGCTGATGATGCTCATGCTGATGCTGATGCTCATGCTGATGCTGATGCTGACGATGGTGATGGTGATGATGATGAGGATGAGGAGGATGAGGAGAAGGAGGAGGAGGAGGAGGAGGAGTAGGATGGTGATGATGATGATGATGCTGATGCTGATGCTGATGCTGATAATGATAATGATGATGATGATGATGATGATGATGATGGTGGTGATGATGATGATGGTGATGGTGATGGTGATGGTGATGATGATGATGATGATGATGATGATGATGATGATGATGATGACGATGATGATGATTTTTTTTGCCGCCACTCGGGCAAAGTCCAGGGAGTGAGGGAGGAAGAAGAAGAGGAGGAGGATGAGCGCCCCGGCCGCCTCGCGCGGCACTCACCGCCTCTTCACGTCGCGACCTCTGCGGGCAAGGCGGCCGGCGTCCCAGTCCCGCGTCGCTTGGGAGGTGCCTGGCCAGAGCCCCCTCGCCAAGCGGCCCAGCGCCTCCCGACTCGCCTCGGTGAGGGGGCGCCCCGCCGGCAAGCAGGAGCCAGCAAGGCCCTTGAGAGCACGCCGCCCTCGCGCGCCGTGGTGGTCCCACACCGCGCGCACTACCAGACTGCCGCGTCGGCATGCGCTCGGAGGTCGTGGCTTGGGTGGTCGGAGGAGCGTGAGGAGGAGGAGGAGGAGGAGGAGGAGGAGGAGGAGGAGGAGGAGGAGGAGGAGGAGGAGAGAGAGGAAGGAGCAGGAGGAGGCGGAGGAGGAGGAGGAGCAGGAGGAGGAGGAGGAGGAGGAGGAGGAGGAGGAGGAGGAGGAATAGGAGGAGGAGGAGGAGGAGGAGGAGGAGGAGGAGGAGGAGGAGGAGGAGGAGGAGGAGGAGGAGGGGGGGACAAGGAGGAGGAGGAGGAGGAGGAGGAGGAGGAGGAGGAGAAGAAGTTGGAGGAGGAGCATGAGGAAGAGGAGGAGTAGGAAGAGGAAGAAGAGGAGGAAGAGGGGAAAGAGGAGGGAGTGGAGAAATAGGACAAAGAGGAGGAGGAGGAGGAAGGAGGAGGAGGAGAAGGAGGAGGAGGAGGAGGAGGAAGAGGAGGATGAGGAGGGGGAGGAGGAGGAGGAGGAGGAGGAGGAGGGGGAGGAATAGGAGGAGGATAAGGAGGAGGAGGAGGGAGAGGAGCAGGAGGAGCAGGAGGAGCAGGAGGAGCAGGAGGAGAAGGAAGAGGAGGAGGAGGCGGAGGAGGCGGAGGAGGAGGATGAGTAGCAGGAGAAGGAGATAGGAGAAAGGAGAGAGGAGAGAGGATAGGAGGAGGAGGAGGAGGAGGAGGAAGGAACTGGAAGGAGGATGACGAGGAGGAGAGAGGAGGACGAGGAGAGAGGAGGAGGAAGGAGGATGAAGGAGGAAGGAGGAGGAAGGAGGAGGAATGAGGAGGAGGAGGAAGAGCAGAGAGGAGGAAGATGAGAGAGGAGGAAGTACGACGAGGCGGAGGAGGAGGAGAACGGAGGAGAACTTGTTCGTCGACTTGTTCTAATTCGGCGGTGCCGATGCGGCGCCGCCGTTAGGCGAGCTCGTCTTCGGCGGCGCGGTGCACGATGGCGGCTGCGGGAGGTGCGCTCGCGTGGGCCAGGCCGCCGCGTTGGAGAGACGCCGGCCGGGTGCATCGGCGCGGTGTAGTTGCAGCGCCATGCCGACTTGGTGTGCCATGGGGGCGCGCAGGTTTAATTCACCACTCATAAACCACCCCAACCCAACCCGAAGGCCTCAGTTTGCCCTCCATTTCCAGTGGGAGGGGGGGCCAGGGAACATTGGGAAGCCACATATGGAACCCGTACCCATCTCCAGCCCGAAACTCGGGTCTTCGGGTTGGGTTGGGGTGGTCTGGTAGGTCGTCATACGATTGGTGAATCTCGCTTCGGTGGCCTGCGTGCGGGGAGGTGATGTTCGAGTGCGGGTGCTCGCCGGGCATTGCCTTCGGGCGGTGCCGCTCGGGTGCGGTCGGTTTGTGGCCGCGGCCGGGCGAGCTGGGTGGCGCGACCCGCCGCTCTCGACCTTGCACTCTGTCCTTCTCTCTCTCTCTCTCGCTGTCTGTCCGTCTGTCCGTCTGTCCGTCCGTCCTTCCGTCTGTCTGTCTGTCTATCTGTCTGTCTGTCTGTCTGTCTGTTCCTTTTTTTCTGTCTCTCTCTCTCTCTCTCTCCAGGCGAGGCCCCAATCATTCCAACAAAAACGACGCCGTTGTCGCCGTCCTCGGTCCTCGAATCCTCGATGCTCGAATCGTCAAGGAGGTAACCGCCGCGCGGCTGCGGGGCCTCGACAGGGACGAAGAGCACAGACAGTAGGAGGATGAGCGTGAACATGGATGATGGAACGCGAGGCGCAGGAGGACTGACGCACAGCGGAGGACGAGGAACATGCGAGGAGGATGAGTGTGTTCAGAACGGACACGTCGGGCCAGGAGAAGGAGAAGGAAGAGGCGGTGTAAGAAGAGGGGGAGGACTAACAATACCAGGAGCAGGAGGAGGATCAAAAACAGGAGCCGGAAAAACAACAGGAGGATGAGGATGAGGATGAGGATGCGGATGTGGAGGAGGAGGAGGAGGTCTTCGAGGAGGCCACGACTGCGATCGGAAGGGAAGGGGATGGGGTGAAGAAGGAGGAGGTGAGGAGGAGGAGGAGGAGGAGGAGGAGGCGGAGGAGGCGGAGGAGGAGGAGGCCGAGGAGGAGGCCCAGGAGGAGGAGGAGGAGGAGGGCCACGACTGTGATCGGAAGGGAAGGGGATGGGGTGAAGAAGGAAGAGGAGGAGGAGGAGGAGGAGGAGGAGGAGGAGGAGGAGGAGGAGGGAGACGGAAAACCAACGAGGACGAGGAGGAGGATGACGAGGAGGAGGCGAGGGCGCTCAGACGCCCAGATGCCACTATCCCCCCTCGAGGAGGTGGCCGCTGCCTGGCTGCAGGGCCTCAGCGCAGAGGCGCGGCTGCGGGCCGCCGACGACCCGCCGACCGCGCGCGCCAACCTGCGCCGGGCCATCACGGACCTCTGGGGCCGACCTTGGGGATGAGCGGGGGTCGCCTTGGACGGGGAGGCGGAGGAGGAGGAGGAGGAGGAGGAGGAGGAGGAGGAGGAGGAGCAGGAGCAGGAGCAGGAGGAGGAGCAGGAGGAGGAGGAGGAGGAGGAGGAGGAGGAGGGAGGAGGAGGGAGGAGGAGGAGGAGGAGGAGGAGGAGGAGAGATGGGAGCAGTAGGAGGAGGAGGAGAGGAGGAGGAGGAGGAGGAGGAGGAGGAGGAGGAGGAGGAGGAGGAGGAGGGAGAGGGGTTAGAGCAGTTGGAGGAGGAGGAGGAGGACGAGGAGGAGGAGGACGAGGAGGAGGAAGAGGATTTTTAAACCCGCGTGCTCCCGCCCGTGAGTGGGTGCCCCTGGTCTCGGCACCCCGCGCAGGCAGAACGGCCCGAGGCGGGGTGGGCCAGCGGCCTCATCTCACGGCGTCGTACTGCCGCCACTCGATGACTCCTGGAGTCGCCCCGTGAGCGGCGGCAGTCTGAAGATATGCTGCCGCCGCCCTCTCAGAGCTTGAGGAGCAGCCTGATGGACGGCCGCAGCCGCTGCTCCGCTCTGCGCTCTTCCAGGGACCGCCCTGGCCGCTGGTCCCTGGACTCGTGCGCCTTCACGGCCGCCTTGCCTGGCGCAGGGTTGTGGCCTAACCCCTCGCCACGCTGGGGTGCACTGCGGCCTAGCCCCTCGCCGCGCAGGGGTCCTCCGTGGCCTAACCCCTCGCCGCGCTGGGGCCTGCTGCGGTCTGGCCCCTCGCCGCGCTGGGGTGCTCCGTGGTGGCCTAACCCCTCGCCGCGCAGGGGCCTGTTGCGGTCTAACCCCTCACCGCGCTGGGGCCCGTCGTGGCCTGACCCCTCGCCACACTGGGGGTCGGTGCGGTCTAACCCCTCACCGCGCTGGGGAAAATCGTGGCCCAACCCCTCGCCACGCTGGGGGTTGCTGCGGTCTAACCCTTCACCGCGCTGGGGTGCTCCGTGGCCTAACCCCTCGCCAAGCAGGGGCCTGTTGCGGTCTAACCCCTCACCGCGCTGGGGTCCCGTGTGGCCTAACCCCTCGCCGCGCAGGGGCCTGCTGAGGTCTAACCCTTCACCACTATGGGGTCCGCCGTGGCCTAACCCCTCGCCACGCTGGGGATCGTTGCGGTCTAACCCCTCACCGCGCTGGGGTACTCCGTGGCCTAACCCCTCGCCACGCTGGGGCCTGCTGCGGTCTAACCCCTCGCCGCGCGGGGGAACGCCGAGTCTCGCACTGTCCCCATCCTCGATGCTACTGCCCACTGGCTTGGGCGAGGTCCCCCGACTATGCCGCTCGCTGTGTTCGCAGTTCACGTGGTATCCGCGGGCCAAGCCCTCCCCCTCGCGTTCAGCCTGTCGGTTTCCCAGGGTATGGGTCCGCTCTGTTAGTTGCGAGGTCCTATCTACCACACTGTTGGTCAAAAGTCAGCGTCATGCTCACTGGGCGGCCCGTCAGGGACCTCCGCCTCGAGCCTCTGCTTGCTTGTGGCACAGCGGTCTACCCCCTCACCGCGCAGGGGGTTGCTGTGGCCGAACCCCTCGCCGCGCAGGGGTTCCACGCGGTCTAACCCCTCACCGCGCTGGGGAAGGTCGCCGAAAAACTTCTCCAGGTCCCGCTGCAGGTCTGTGTCGTCGTAGTCTGCCGTCGTCTCGGGCTGCGCAGTTCTGTGGCCTAACCCCTCGCCACGCGGGGGTCCTCTGCGGTCTGCCTCTTCGCCGTGCTGGGGCCCTTCCTGGCCGAAACCCTCACCATGCTGGGGTCTGCTGCGGTCTAACCCCTCACCGCGCTGGGGTCCTCCGTGGCCTAACCCCTCGCCGCGCTGGGGTCCTCTGCGGTCTGCCAGGTGGTACCCTATGCTGTGCTGTACCTCTGGGATCTGCTGGTGGTTGTCATCGCTGTCCTGCTTGTCTACGGGCTGCTGGAGGCAATCCTCGCTGTTCTCCTCTTCAAGGAAGTGGTCGAGGTCTGCCCTGTCCATGTTGCTCCTTCCTGCTGGTGGGGGACGGGCACCCCTCTTCATCCCGTCTGGCGCAGGGCTGTGGCCTAACCCCTCGCCACGCTGGGGTCCTCTGCGGCCTACCCCCTCGCCGCGCAGGGGTCCATGGTGGCCTGCCCCCTCTCCGCACAGGGGCCTGCTGGAGGGTTTCTGCCGCTCCTCCGCCCTTCCCGCCTCCAGGGGCCGCTCTGGCTGCGGTACCCTGGGTCCCTTGGGCCTCTCGAGCTCGGGCGCTGGCGTTGCCGTGCGCAGCTCGGCGGGGCTGCTGGTGGCCCTGGCCTCTGGGCCCCTCCTCGGCTGTCTGGCTGGAGCCCTGCTTGGTTCTCGCACTGCTGCTTGCGGTCGCGGGCTGCGGCCCCTCACCGCTGGCTCAGTCTCGCCCAGGAGCTGCTCAGCCATTGCTCTGCGCCGCTCTGCCTCCTTCGGGTCCTGCTGCTGGATCTGCCTGCGCGCCTCTCCGCTGTTGAGCCATGCCAGGCGGCAGATCTCCTCCGCCGCTCGGCGCTGGCTGCGCTGGCGGCTCGGCCCTGACACGTTGCTGAACAGCCTCTGGTAGACGCCAGTCTGCAGCGCCCTCAGCACATGGGGCACGCGCGCGGCCTGCCACGATGGCCAACCCTGCTCGCCCTCTTTCTGGATCCAGCAGCCTGCCAGCGACTGCATGAGCTGCTCAAGCCTGTTCCTCTCGAGCCACGCCACCTCCTGCTCGGGGTCCTGGTCAGCTTCTCCTTTGTTGTGTCGAAGCCTTGGGTGGAGCAGGCCGGCCTCATCTGCTTCGCTCACGAACTTCATCAGGTCGGGCCCCACTGGCTTGGTCAGCGTTACTGCCACCTGCACGGCCGTCTGCATCAGGCTGTTGGCGTCGTGCCTCCGATCAGGTCCTGCCATGGTCTCCATCTCCTGGTCGCTCGGCTCGCCCTCCAGCTCTGGGGCTTCACTGTCTGGGGTCGAGTCATCATCGTCCAGGTTCTCTGGTGACCGCTCTCGGCTGGCCTCCGCTGTTCTCGGCAGCGGCCTGCGCTCGCTGCTGGGGATGCTGTGCGCAAGGATGTTGTTCCTTCTGTTCTGGAAGGCGTCCATGTGCACTCTTGCTGCCTGCTGCCTTGTACCGTGCGGGAGGGTAAGCATCCTGGTCATGGGCCTCCGTCGCGTGCGGTGCGTGTTGCGCCAGACTTCTTCGCAGAAGTCCTTGATCTGCTGAAGCTCCTGCGCGGTGACGGCCCTGGTCTGCTCTTGCGTGTCCGTTCTGCCCCCCACATTGGTGATGGCCAGGAGGTGCGGTGCGCAGTGCTCCATCCAGTCGTCCATGTCGTCCCGGACCTCTTGGTCGACCATGTTCATCCACTGCTCCGCGTAGCCCTCCATGTGGTCCACGAGCCTCCAGCTGGCTTGGACGACAGAGTGCGGATGGCTGGGTGGCTGGTGTGGAGCTGGCTGCGGGTCCCCTGCCTCTGAGCTGTCCCCGTCCAGGTCGATCGCCTCGTGGTTACTCAGGCCGAGCTTGAAATCACCAGGCATGGTGCTCTCGTTGAGACCCTCATCAGCTGGGTCTGCTGCTGGCTTAGCTCCTCTTGGCAGCTTGCCCCTCTGCATGTCCGCCAAGACCCGACGCCCTGCTGCTGTTGGGGGCTGACATGGCCTGGCCAGCTTCCTTGCCACTCCTGCCACGATCCTGCCCTTGTGGTCCCCGAGGTAGCTGGTGCCGCCACATTTCTCGCACCAGAGCCAGCCATGGGAGAACTGCGTCTTGTGGGGGACGTGCACCACCTGCGTGCCGATCTGCGCCGCCTCGAAGTCAAGCCTGACGTTGCCGTGCTGGTCCTGGTGGCCGCCGTACTTCCCGAGGCATTCTCCCGTCTCTGCCAGCCAGTCTCTGATGCTTTGTCCTTTGGCTGGGCCACTGCGACACGTTGCACACCACCGTCGCGGATTTAGCTTGCGCAAGTCGTGTCCCAGCTTGGCTGCCCTGTCCCTCGCCGTCTGCGGCTTTCGGCGCTTGGCCTTGGGGCGCTGAGGGGCCTTGTTGGGGTCCTCCACCGTCACCGCCATGTTGATGGCCAGCAGCCGGTTTTGCACCGCCGTGGTGGTCTGGTCCCTGATCTGCTGCTGCGCGATGATAGCTGGATCCAGTGCTCCATGCTCCGCTCCCCAGCCTGCGTACTTGTCTGCCATCTCGTTTCCTATGACCCACCAGGTTGGACCATCCCACCTCTCCAGCTCGGCTGGGTGCTCGATCAGGTGGCTTGGGATGTGGTGGCCCGTGATGGTGTCCGTGCTGTTCTGCAGCTGTTGCTTTGTCTGGAGCCAGAGGTCGTAGTTCGTGCTCCTGTAGTCCAGGTCCTCAGGATCCTGGATCTGCTTGAGTGCGTCCAGGGCGTACTTGCAATCGCTGACTATGTTGAGCCCCCTGGCTGTCGCCGCCGTGGTGTACCCGATGGCTCTGCTCATGGCGGTGAGCCCTGCCCGTGGCACCGTGTGCTGCGCCTTGATCGTGCCGTACCAGGCGGCCACTTCCTGCGGGCGTCCGTGCTCGTCGAACCTGAAGGCCACCACTGCCCAGCCGCAGCGTCTGAGGCGGGGGTCCTTGGCCGTTGCCCCTGCACCACCTGAGCCGTCCGTGACGACATAGTCTGCTCGAACCTTGTGCCCTGACTGGGCTGCGGCCTGAGCCTCTTCGCTGGTTCAGAAGATCTGCGCCGCCTTCGCCGCGTCCTCGTCTGGGTCGACCTTGGCTGCCCAGGCCGCTGGCGGGATGCCACGGAGCCAGAAGTGCAGGTCTTGCCGCTGGTCCAGCGCGTCTTTCGCCTTCTTCGCCAGGTCGGTGTCATTGCTGTGCCTTATCTCTGCGTTGGCAGGGCATGCGTAGTATAGTAGCGGTGTTCCTCTGTCTCTATCGCCTCGCCGCATCTCGCGCAGGTGTCGTCGCCTTCTTGGTTGAGGTTGGCCGCCCTGCGACGCTCCCTGGTCCAGATG